TAAAATAAATTAATATCTATAATATATAATAAAAGAGACTTTAATGGAGTAAGGTGCCAGAGTCTTCCTGCTCTCCTCTTACTCTGAAGCATTTGAGCTCATATCTCGTGTGTCCCACATACCTGATATCGTTTTATTGCTCACATACTTCACATCGTGTGGATGTGTGTAGTGCATGACTTCATAATCAATACTTGTGAGTCAAAGTTACAGTTAACTGAGAAAAATGCGATGTGAGCAGAAAAGATAGGGCCAACAGCATCCCCTCTCTCTCATCATGTCGTCTGCTTGGGGCTTGTGTAGAAACTGCAGTGTTGGTGAAATAGCCAGAGGAAACTGAAGATGTACCAAAGCCTGAAATATGGCTGTATGCCTTCTGAGAGCATGCTGGTGCAGTGTCTTCTCAATGAAACCATAAATGGGGGGAAGAGCAGGAGAGGGCTCTAAAAGCTTTGAGCAGGATACTTGAATCCTCATGGATCTCCTGAGTTGCGTGTGCATCTGTTGACCAGGATATCTCTTCCTTGGGCTCTGCTTTCCTCTATTCCTGTAAAGGCTGCAATTTTACTCCTGGCTTTGCTTCTCTTAAGGGATTTACTTCTCTAAAGTGCTTTATGTATGTGTTGTAAGCAATGATACAGTTCGTTAGTGCTGGTACCTCAGTAGGGTATTCTGCAATTTATTTACTTTTCATTCATTGCTGTGTTAAAAATAAATTGTGGTTAATTACGGATATACCTTTTCACTGAAAAGGTTTTTTGCAGAAATAATTATTTAGCACTGAAAACCTGTTTTGTATTATGTGTCATTTGCTGTGGCTGCCAACAGATTTTTTAAAAGATAAACCCACATTTTTTAAGTGAGGAGAGGAAAAGATTATTTTTGTTTGTTTGTTTCACTCCTAAAGGGCATAGTGATGGTGACTTTAGCCAGTAAATTTTGGGGAGACTGTACCAATCTTTCTATTCTCTCCTTGTCACAATAACCATTTCATTGTCAGAAAGCATATTCAATGCCCTGAATGTAGCTTATGCCTAATATTACAATGTAGTCATCAGATTACATCTTAGATGCATTTTAACGAGACAGCCTTTACAGCTGTGTTGTCTGCCTTTGTCATTAAAAAAATCTCTTCCTGTGTCCCCTTTAATTTACCGATTTTCCAGCTCATTTATAATTCATTGAGATTTTGATGATACAGCAGTTCACCTGCTGGCAGTGCTAGTGCTGTAATTTGACAGCACTGCAGATCTGATGAAACTGTCAGTCATGGGATAATCTCAAATTCACATCTCTTGTATCACACCTGCAAAATTGGTGGGTGAAAGAGCCTGTATAAGGTCAGAAAAGATGACTGAGGTGTGACACCTTACTGGAATCAGTTTCAGTGGTGGAGAACAGCAGGAGCTTCCAGTGCTGTATTTTAGTGTGAAGAGGAATTATTAAGCAGTCCGCCAGCAGCTAGTAGCATGATTGACAGATCAGATATGGGTGTTAAGCTTCAATAATAAAGAATATTAAAGTATTTGGTATTTTAGGACTTTACATTTGCTTTACTTTATTACTCATATCTCTACAAATCACTGTTGCAAGAGATTTTGTTGAATGTAGGCTTTAGTTTGCTATACCAATATAAATGAGTGAGTTCAAGTCAGATCACTCTATCATGTGGGTAACGTACTACATTAAATGAAACCACTGACAAAATTCCAGTGCGATGCCCATCATGCCATGCCACTTTTTGTTTTACTTTTGTTTTAGTTCTTATGTGACTAAGGGTATGGCTACCTTTTTATTCACCAAAGTAAAATTATATGTATAATTTTGCAGTTGATTGACAGCAATGACATTTCTAAGACTCTGCTGTATTTTTGGATATGTCAGCAGACAGCACACAAGTGAAATAGTTCATGGAATAAAAACATCCTGTGTAAAATGGAATGAATGTCAGACTGGCTTAAAATCATTGTTTTGAATAAATCGTAGAAAAAATAGTCTGTTTTCCATTCTGCATCTGCAGTGAGTTAAAATGTATTCTGAGCAGATATTGCAAAGATGCATTTTTCTCTGTTAGGCACATTCAATTTTTTATTTTTACTGTATTTTGTTTCTTTCAGCCTGCGGAGAAACACTGCAGGATTCTACAGGCAACTTTTCTTCTCCAGGATTTCCAAATGGTTATCCTTCCTACACACACTGCATATGGAGAGTCTCTGTGACCCCAGGGGAGAAGGTATTTTAACATTCCCTCAGCTAAGCAGAGATGCTATTTTCAAAATAAAATGTTGCATTTCTTTAGGGTTTCATTTAAGTTAATTGAAAACAATGGTACGCCATAAAAAATGAGACCATGAACTATTTGCTTTTGACTACACTTTGGTCTATGGCATTAGAAAAACATCATCATCTATTTGGTGGCTGTCCATGTAAAATAAAGGCATTATTTCAATCTGCTACATGTTTCCATCCTGAGGTCCCTTCAAAACTGGGTTCCAGTTCAGCTAGTGTTTTGATGTAAATGTTGGAAGAAGTAGTTCAGAATTCTGAAGAGTTTCTTCTCCAGCACAGGCTAGGGTGAGCTGACAGAGCTGTGAGAGGCTGAGCGCTGAGCTCTGCCTAAGGAAACTCTTGGTATGTTAAATTAGATGTTTCTAAAGTCACACAGTAATAACATGGCGTAAAGAAAGTGTCCTTGTAAGTGTTCCCTGGTATCGGTTCTAGTATATTTAGTTTTGCTTTCTGGGCATCAATTCTGAGGGAAAAAGTGGGTGAAAAATATTGTTTAGTGAGAACAGTTCCAAGAGAGAAATGTTCCATCATAGTGAAAACAAAACCTGTTCTTCTCGTGTATGCTTTCAAAACCAGCTAGCTGAAGCTTTTTTAAAATTATTGGCTCAAATATTAGCCTTCCTCAAAAATAAATGAGGGGGTGATGGGAAGCTTCACCTGAGACATAACATGTAGGAAAAAAGATAGGATGTAAGTTTCTTTACAAGAAGCAGTCGTCAACGTTAAGCAGTCAAATATAGCCTGAAGAGTGAAATACAGAACATAGCACCAACTTCAGTACGGAGAGTCCAAAAAGAAAAATCCAGCATCTGCCCCCAGATACCTTGGTCAGTTTTGTCAGTGATCTCCCACTCCACATTGGACACGGTTTTCTCCTGACTGGGTTACTTTATTCCATGTTTCTTTCAGGTCAGGGTCCTCATAGACATTAAGAATATATGTTCTTGATGTACTAATAGATCCTGTAGGAGCATTTGCCACTGTGGAGGATGAAAGCAAAGTCATTTGGAACACATTCACCCTCCTCTGGGCAAGAGCCAGAGACAGGAGGAGAAATAAACACACTGTGCTTGCAGGACGTGGGTGGCTCTGCAGGTTGGCAGGGAAAAACAAATGAAAACAGATGAATAAGAGGAGGTTTGCACAAATGATGCAAATTCATCTAGATAGGCAATTTTATGTCCACAGTATTTTTGTTGTTTCTTCAATGTTGCTGTGAAGGCAACAAAAATGGTTTAAGGGTTTTTTTCCATTCTTTAGTTAAAAAAAAATAAAAAGTTGTAATGTTCAACTACAATTATTATTGGCTTTTGAAAACAATATTAATTTAGAAGTTAAAAAATGGTCATGTTGAAGTATTCATAGCATACTCCAATTTTGTTAAAGCCTATCTGTGGATGTTGGAGTAATTATAATGTAATACCATTGTGCCTTGAGATTGTAACCACCACTGGAGCTCTTCTATACAGTACAAAAGCTTAATAGGGGAGAGGCCCTGTCTTGAAGTCATCAATGTAAGAAGTCCATCTCCACCCCAAATGGGGAAAAAGGCTAAGCAGAAATTTGTCATTGAAATTTGACATGACAAGTTGTGTCTGTAGGGCACTGTTCTGACTTCCAGCTCTTGTCGTCACCATATAGTTTAGCAAGAGTGAAGTAAATGATATTGCGCTGATGTAAAAAAGTTTGTTTTGTCAGTGCTGTTCCTATAGGATTGTTTCTGTCTTGAGATAAAGGATCCTATTTGCAGCAAGTACTTGATGTAAATAGCCTATAGCAGAAATGAGGTCTAAATCTTACCTAAGGTATATACCATGGTACCCTGGACACACAGTATACTTGATCCCAAATGTTATCAGTAAATGATGGTAACATTTATGTTATGGAAAGAAAATTTTAAAAAAAATAAAATTTTTGTTCATTTATTTGCTGCTTTGACCCTGATAGATACCATGAATGTTGTGTGGAGTATGTATAAGTACATCACATCATGTTCTGAAATGTTAGTGAGCCCCTTACTTACTAGCCTAAAAATAAACTGAGAAAGCATCAGTCTACATTGTCTAGCTTGTATCTCTTGTTTATTGAGGTATCAACATTGTGCTCTTTGAGCATAGTTTAGAGGAGTTCTATCCCTGCTGTTTTCCTGCAAGTACAGTCACTTCCAGTCTTTGATGGCAGGAAATTCAGTGAAGGACGAGACTGCAGCGGTACACACTAGCTACAGCATTCCTTTTTTTGATAGGCATCATAAATTGCTAGCCCAACCTAAAATATCTGCATCTCTGTTACTTAAACAAGGCAGTTCATTCACCTTTTACTTTCTCTCAAGATTTAAGACTATATGGCAAACAGCTGTACACAGTGTGTGTGTGTATATGTGTATGTATATATATACACACAGAAAAATCTGTGGGGGAGGATGGTGTTAGTAATACTGTGTGCCCTGTGCCAGGGCAAATCCCACCTTCTGATGTGTAGAAATTTTGTTGACATAGGGAGTTGCAACTGTGCCAGTGTTCTTTTTGAATCTGTGTTTTTTAATAAGTTGCATGACTTTCTAATTTGCCTTAACATTTTACATGAATGATAAAATAGGACAGATGAATCCTTGATTTGTGTTGATATGGGGAAAAAATGCATCTGCAGAAAACTTAGTTAGTACTACCTGGTGTTTGCTGAAATTTTCTGCTTTCTTATCCCGAGCAGGAAGAGGTATGATATATTCTGTCTGAAGCTGCAATAGCACAATTGAATCTGCTTTGTAATCAATAGTTCCTTAATTGTGCTGACAAATACCCATTGATTGTTTTCCTGGTGAAGACTTTCAGCCATCCTGTCCTCTTTAACAAGCTCTGCCTTGTCTGTAGCTATATTTAATACTTTGCAGAATTGCAAATCAGAATCTTAAATATATTTATACTTGTTTGGTTCCTGACCAGAAATCATGCTGTGACAGATTGGAGGTTCTGCCTATGTACAGCTAATGAATTCTGGTCAATGTTAAGGAACTGCTGTATCATCAAATACCTTGGCATGTGAGAGTGAGAAAAAGCTGTGAAGGTTATTTCATATAGTTTCAAAGGAGGGGGCCATTGAGGAGGCTCATTAAATTTTAACGTTTTCCATTCAGATAGCAATACTTTGAGTCAATTACATGATCACACCTAAGTAAAACCATCCCTTTCCAAACTCCATCCTTGCAACTAAGGTTTGGAAAAAGGCAAATTTCCAAACAGAAGACAGAAATCTGATGTTTCGGCTGTGTCCTGAAAAAGGCAAAACTTGTGGCTAGACCTCAAGCTCTGCACAGCTAAGCCAAAAGAGGAGGTAGGACGCGGCTTCCATAACTTGCTTCCAACAGAGCCAGCTGGGTTGACTTACACAGCTGTGGAAGGTAGCCTGTCCCTAACCCGGCTGTCTGCATCTCATCTGGGCAGAGAAAAAGGCTCTCCCCCTTGCGAACCCCTCTACTTGCACAGTGACGAAGTTAGCATAGATGGGTGGAAAAGGATAAGGAGACTGCTGAGGGCAGTAGGGTTTTCTGATACGGCTACGTAGAGAGATACCTACCTACAGTCTGAGAAACTTGGGAAAAAAGGGTAAGAGTTTAGAAAGAGTCTGAACAGCAGGGTGGATGAGCTGAGAAGAACAAAAATTTTGTAGTTGGTGAGGCCTCTTTAATTGAAGGACAAGTTGAAGATGAAACAGTCTATAAAGGACAGACAAAATTGTTGTGTGAATGAGAGAATATACAGGACTTCTGCCACCCTCAGAGGTAGACTCGGTTAGCACCTGGAAGTGTAATAAAAAACTGAAGCAGAGGAAAGCATATGAATTATTGTACTTCTAGCTAGATCTGCTTATTTCTTATGGAGAATAACATGGTAAGTAAGTGGTTTTGGAATTCTGAAAAATATTTGCGCATTAATTTCTTCGGTACCTGTCCCTGAGGGAGTGCCTGAATGGTAAAGGCAAAGTGCCCTGTGGATAGACATCTGGAAAGTTTGAGAGGCTTAGCAATAGGCAAAAGCAAAAAGGTGAGTTGTAAGGTTCCAGGAAAGAATGGTATGGGGAGTCCCTGTCCAGAAAATAGGACAGAGAAGTTGAAACAGGAGGTGTTGCAATTAGATTAAAAGAAGCATGACAGCATGTGAATGGAGACAACCACAGTAACCTAGTGAATGCCCACTGAGAGGATCAATTAATGCTTTAGTGATACCATTTTTAGGTAAACAATGCAATAGTCTGGAAACCGAGTAGTATGGCATTGAAGGTTTTCTGACAATTTTCTCACTGGAACACTGGAAAGAAAATATTCTTCCTATTTTGCAAAATTAAAAAAAAAATCATCCTCCACCAGGGCCCTGGTGAAAAAGTGGCAAGGGAAAAATAAGAGCTATCTGAAGGCCTCCCTTTGTGGCCCTAAAATGACAGAAGGAAGGGGCCAAGAGAGAGCAGACTACATTTATTGCATCTTCTACACTGAAATGTACCAAAGCTGCTTGCAGGATGTTCCCAGGGAGAACACGGTGCTAGAGGCAGACTGCTGCTTAAGCAACCCTTTAGCACATTTTGTGGTAGCAACTTATAGTGATGTATATATTTGGCCATACTCAACCATCAAAACAGGTATTCATTTAAGCTGTTCCGTCCTGATGGTCCGTGGCATGCTTCACGTCCCGTACCTTCATCCCACAGGGCTGGGACTGCCAGCATAATGTGCCTTCCTGTACAGGGCTTCTGGCTGTTGGGTTTCATGTGTAGCCTCACAGATGTTTTATGTTTCCCATGGTGTTGTGGTAGTAAAGGTGAAAGCTGAATGGCATCACCTGTGAGTTTGGTGTTTCACCCAAATGGTCAGTACTGTCAGCACTAGGGAATAAGGGAAGATACAGCTTTTAAGGTTAAGTTAGAAAGTTTTCTATTCTGTATTGAAAACAGGTTTTTGAGAACATAATTGCTCATATGGATGTTCTTAGTTATTTTTTGAGGAAAGTAAGTGATATCAAAACCCCTGCTAGCCTACTATTGACACACACATAGTGTTTTGCTATAAAATATTGTCACCATTTTGCATTGTTTGGAGATGAGTCTTACCATGACAGTCTACTATCTACACACCCAAACCACTGAGCTTGATGTTTTCTTTAAAGTGGCTTCCTCTAATAGCTAATAGTTTTAACTGTCTTAAAATTTAACAATCTGAAAAACTTCTGCCTTTCTGGTTTACTATTGTACTACTTTGTGGTTGAAGAGACACATGGTGCCTTGAGAGGAGATGGAAGTAAACCCCGTCTGACTGCCTGGACCCATTACTCCAGTTGCAGTGTTACATTTCCTCCATGCAGCTGGGCCTAAGGGTAAATTCCTCTCCTTTCAACTGACGCTCACAGCTGCTTCACAGGCTGCCACGGAGATGTATGGTTTTTTGCAGTGTGAGGTATTTGCCACTGTGCAGCAATTCATGTTTGCTTCACAATAGCAGGTTTCAATTGATTTGTGAGTTCTTCGATTCAAAGCTAAAAATAAAACCACTTCTATGCTCATACGTGAATAAAGAAGATCTTTAGTTAGGTCAAAACACTCATTAATCTACACTGAGGAACTGATTTGGAAGAAAATGAATTCTTTTTCCAAATACACTTAAATCCAGTGAAAGGGTATGAATTGGAAATGATTTTGTAATACAAAATATGAATGAGTTTTAATCTTCTTGTTTGGACTTATCCCTGAAATTGAAGGACGTGATGCTAAGACTCTCATAGTCAGTCAGGGTCCAAACTGAAGCTATCGTGTCCGCCTGTGAATCCTATTCTTTTGTTAAAAGCGTAAGTTTATCGCAGTTTAGGATTAGTATTTCTAAACCAAAGGGGCATAATGTAATGGTCTAGGGCAGTCCTGCTATTAAATATTGAAACTATGCCTGTTTAGAGATGTGCTCCGTAAAATTGGGAGTCCAAGTTCAAAAGTTCCAGAAGTGCACAAAACTCAGATTTCTATATAAGAAACTACTAACATTTCATTAAGAGTCATTAAGAGAATGTGTGCCATTTGTTGTAGTGATATGGCCTTGAGCTTTACTGTCCACCATTGCCACAAATATTTAACTTGTCTGTGAACAAATACTCTTGTGAAAACAGTAGTAGGAAGCACAAACCAAAAGAAAACATATTTTTTAAAAAAAAAAATACCAAAAAACTCTCAGTGCTGATTATAATCGGAAAGGAACAGAAGAGGAATAGGCAGGAGAATCATCAAAGAACATCCTTAAAATTATATTAGCACGTTACTATATTTGCATTCTCAATTTTTTCTTTCGTAGTGAAAAGCTTCCTGTAAACAATAAAATGAGTGATCTGTCTTGAATCAGCTCAAATATGTAAGACTAAATTAAAAAAAAACCTTTTAATGTTTGCAAACAACTTTTACTTACTATAAGAAATAATTGAGGAGAGGTTAATTAAGAGTCTAAGTGTTTGGAACCCTGTTACAGGTGACCACTGACTTTGGTTCTGTAGAATATTGTTGTGATCATTTTCTACTATTAACCCCATGTGACTTAACTAGGTGTTCTCCTCTGATTGCAGATTGTTTTAAACTTCACCACCATGGACCTTTACAAGAGCAGTCTCTGTTGGTACGATTATATTGAAGTGAGGGATGGCTACTGGAGAAAATCACCTCTGCTTGGTATGCAACTGTTGAACGCTGCACTCTCCGTAGTTACCTCACTCGTTGACTTCAGATGCTTGCTGTTGAACCCACAACCAACCTCTTGGTTTTTAGAATGTGTCTAAACTTGGGGATGGGAAAAGCCTCCAAATGGACTCACATAAGTAATTCATTTGGCTACAGACCTCAAGCCTTCCTTTCACTGCAGGTAGCTGTTAGTCATCTACGTGTGTAGAAGGATGGGAAGTACAAAATGTGCAACTTTTTGCTTTGGTTTTGAGTACTGAAAAATGAAGTTGCCATAGTTTTGTTCACAGAAATGGGGAGACAGGACAAATCGATAGTATGTGATGGGAAATCCACAAAGCATGTCATGAGCACGTGGACTTAAGACGAAGAGCACTCACTGTAAATTTGTACTTATGAGCTCTGTTCCTGTACTTTTCAAATTATGAATAGAAGATTACTTCTATTTCTTCTTTGTCAGTCCTTCCCTGTTCTTACAGAGAGAAGACATGCTAAGAAATAATGAATTAAGTTGAATTGAGTTGAAATAATGAATAATTGAGTTGAAATAATTAATTGAATTGCAACTATTATGCAGGAAGCTTCAGGCACACTTTTAATTTGGAGGGTTGGTGGGAAGATTTCACACCCTGTAATGCCACTGCCCAACCCAGAGGCTCAGTTTGACATCACATGATCTTCTCTGATTGAAACTGGGGTTTTTGCGCCATAGGAAACATGAACTTTTTTAACTTCTTGGGTCAGTTTTTTCATTATTTTTAGAATGAAGACTGAAACTGTTTCTTAGCATCCTAACAACCACAATTTAAAAACAGTGAAAGAAGAAAGAAAAGTAAACAGTTACAGAGGACAGCTTTTTAACAATAGTGCTTATTTTTTTGGCCTTAAAAAAAAAAAAGAAAAAACAATGAAGACAATACAGTAATTATCCTTTTCTTTTGTTCCGTTCTCTATGGCCTAGGCAAACAGAAATTTCCCCTACCTAGGCAGCCTTTAAATGTACAATATAGTCTAGGGTAATGTCAGTTTTCAAATCCCTTTTGGTCCTTGGACACAATGAGCAGTATTACTGTGACCTAGATTAAGTGCCTCAAGATTAGGTACTCACTTTTCCCCTGTTTCTGTGTATAGAAACAATCTGTAACAATAATTTTTCTACTTTTCCCCTAAGGTTTTATGTTTAGGCTTGAGAGCCTGACTGCAGTGAAAAGAAGTACTGAAAGCTTGATAATAAAATCTTTGTGTATTGGGTCCTGCTCTGCAGAAACACATGTGCTTAACCGTAAGCATGTGAATAGTTCCACTGAGTTGCTTATGTTACTCCTGTTTATAATGTTAAACACTTGTATAAATGTTTGCAGCATTTGGCTTCAGAAGTGGCAGAAAATGCAGTTACTGGTTGCATGTTTTTAGGCAGGTTTTGTGGTGACAAACTGCCAGAAGTCCTTGCATCCTCTGACAGCAGGATGTGGATCGAGTTCCGCAGCAGCAGCAACTGGGTTGGGAAAGGTTTTGCAGCAATTTATGAAGGTAAGCCTCTTACAGCATTAAAAATGACTTGATTATGGAGTAAAAATATTAACTGGATACCTTTGAATATTTATTTTTTTTAAAAAGTCAGAAATAAGATCATATGAAATCAGCATTTTATTACTGAAAGAGACAGTAGGTGTTAATTTACTAGACAGAATATTTCAAAACTGTTCCTGTGATCATATTTCAGATGACCTCTTCTCCAGGGACACTACCACTGATAATATTCATAAGTATTTTTTTGCCAGTTGTTTAATTAACTAAATGTGTTTGTTCTTGTGCTTAATGTTAGATTTCTTTGAGTGCTTTCTGTTTATTCTTCAGAAAAATCTGACTTAAATTTTCCATATGCTCTGGGATTACTTAAGAGACACACGCCCACAGTGAATATATTAGCAAGTCAATATTCACCTGTTTAAAATAGAAACTGTTTTCTTAAATATTGAATCTATGGTAAACTGCATGATTTAGTTGATATTCACACATCTTTACATGATTTTCATTGTGGACTCTGAAAAGAGCATTTACTTTTAATGAAAATATTTTTTTACATTAGCTGTTTCTTCAAATTCAATGTAAGCTTGAAGTGATAAGCTGTATGTTAAAAGTTGTAGATCATTATAAAATATGAGATTTCTGTCTCGTATGTCTCTTTCTAAAGGTTAGTAAGTATTAATGACAAATGTTTATTAAATATATTTCAAAGGTAAAAGTAAAATTTAATTATTTTGACCTTTTAAATATATCCTGTAATAGACATTCACATTATCCAGGATTCCAAATCTTCCTGAACATTGTACATGTTTAGAGCTATTAGAAATGCTGAATTGTATTTGCTAACTGAAATATATATTGAGGCTTAAATGGACTGAGTTTTCAATAATTTATCCTTGGTAGACTTTTTATGTATTCTCTAGAATAATCTTATCATTAGTTTTAAAAGGAGAAGCATAAAATACCAGTTTGGGCATGGGAAACAGAAAATGTCGTTATTGATGGTGAGAATTGTATGCTTTTATCAGCTATCTGTGGAGGTGAAATCCACAAAAATGAAGGCCAGATCCAGTCTCCCAATTATCCTGATGACTACAGACCAATGAAGGAATGTGTGTGGAAAATAACAGTGTCAGAAAACTACAATGTAGGATTAACCTTTCAGGCATTTGAGGTAAGGTCTTTTAACTGATCTCAGAAAAGCATCTAGTGGATAAGTGACAATGGCATTTAAGGGAATCCTCATTTAAACCTCTGAATTAATTTAAGAATTCTCTATGAAAAGTGAGCTCCAGAGTCCAATTCTCTTCTCCATGAAACCTTCCTTTCTGCAGAAATTTTCAAGATTTAAGGTTTTTCACATTTTCTATGCTCTTTGAATTAGAATGTTTAAAGTACTGACTATAGTTGCAGTTTAGCAAATACATAATCCAGTTCAGAAAGGCTGTTTTAATATTCTGTTAAATAATTGGGATTTTTTTTTATCTTTGCTAAATCTTATTGCTAAAAAGAAATGTCTATTTGGAAAGAAACTGCTGTGGTTTTTGGCTTCTCTTTTGAGAATAAAGAAACAAAAAAACCCCTACTTAAATTCAGATTACAAACCTATATTTAGAGAGGGAAGAAAAAAGCCATGGTGAGTCATATTTGTGTGTCTTTAGTGTACATCTCCGTGCATAATATTGCTAAACAATAGTGTAAACTATTGTATAGCAAAAAATATTTTTATGTCTCTTCTTACACAAGCACAATACACTGGCTTAAAGTTTGCAGATAAATTTAGTAATATACATTGAGTTCCCTTGTTTTATTTGAATATGCTTCGGCAATAATGACATTAATAACCCTCTTTCAAAATCGAAACTCTTTGGCATTATGGTGCACATAGATATAAACGATATAGTAAATATAGTTATAATTTCCGACCTGTAATTTTAGTCATACAGACAGACTTCAGGGGTACGACACATTTTTGCTATGACTGGTGAAAGGTCTGAGCATGAGGTAACAAGGATTTGGGACTTTACCAGCAATTATGAATATAAACAGTGGAAATGTTAATAATTTCATGGATTTTACTTCATTTTCCCTTTTTTGTATCCTGAATTAATGTTGGGTCTAGTGCAGACAAGACTAGCTCTCCCTGCCCAAAAAGTTTTCCAAACAGTATTCAGATTCTGGCTGAAGATTACTTAACATAGTTCGTCAGTCTTTCGTGCTAAGCCATGTTGAAAATGAACAATGTTTTTAGTAACTTTATGTAATTCACTGACTAGGTATGGAGCTTTCCTAGTCTGCCATTAGTACTCAGTTGTACTTAATGCGATCCCCAAATAAATGGCACTATGCCTCTGCATAAGACTTGCCACAGTATTCGATTTCCTTTCAGATGCTCAGCGTCTGTCTCCACACGCAGTACAGTATCACTTGAACTGACCCCAGTTCAGTATCACCTCTGGGAGAAACAAACTTCCATCTCTTCTTATCTTCCAGGGCCTTTTTCTGACTACCAAATTACGGACTATTTGCAAGTGTGAGGGATGGCCTGTTCATACCTCACCACATAGGAAATTATCAGAAGCAAAGGACCAGCAAATGAGAGCGCAATTTAGTAGGCTAGCAGTTAAGACTGTAAGAAGAAATGTGCGTTTTTTTCCCGGACTATTTAATATTATGGCACACTCTAGAGGTGAAATGTGTCGACTGACAAAAATAAAGAGGAAACTGAGCAGAAGTACAGTTGAGTGGTAGTCTCAAGTTAATGCCTCTGCTAGATGTGTTTTGAAAGAAAAAAGAATAAATGAATTCCAACAGTAGGGACGTTAAAGGTTCATACTTTTCCAGGCGAAATCTGAACTGTGATTCCAGAGTGGCAAGATGCCCTTGATCCACCAAGTAAGCTGCCCCAAAAAGGCACAAGACTTCTGTCCTGTCTGTCCTCTCAGTGTTTCTTACTGGTTTGTCCACAGGGCACCTCGCTGAGAGTGAGAGCTGCTTTAGAAACTGCTCTGAAGTGTCTTGCCTAGATTTTCACTACTTGGTTCCATTTCAAGTCCAAGTGCCTGAATGTAGGTGTTCTGGTTTTTGGTACTAAGTCCCTCTCTGGACTGAATCCTTGGTGTGCTGCCCAGTAAAACAAAAAGTTGTTTAAGAATCACAGTTCTTTGTGCCAGCTCAGTTCAAAAAAAAGTAAATGTCAGGCCAAAGAGTTATTACAGTGTGTTTGTGAGAAAATTACTTGTCTGTCCTTTGAAAGGTACAGTTAAGTAAAAGGAATTCTCATTATCCATATGTAATGCTAGAAAAAATAACTGTATAAATAACCTTCACTCTGAAATGAAAGCTCTAAGGAAACTGAGAATTTCAAGCTGTATCGATGAGTCATCTTGTTTTGCCTGCTATGGGCAATGTGTTTTCCACTGAGTGTGGGATTACCCTTTCTTAAATTGGCTGCCTGATGGACAGCTCCAGTTTCCACTACCTGGATGACAGCAGAGATGTTGAGAGCGGTAACTCCATCTTTTTGCTTCATTGTTACAGTCACCTTTACTACATCGTTCTTTGAAAATCAGCAATTCTTGTATTTTATTTTACTTTTTGAAAAGCTTTCGTTGGTACACAGTCTCACCAGCTACGGCAATCCAGAGGGTTTGTAGTGCTCAGCTGTATTAATCTTCCTCATCTGAGTGGCCCTGTTAATCTTTGTGCAGACAGTGCTCATTTAAATTATTTTTGTATAAATCAGGGCATAAAATCTGCCTGATCGTCTGATTCCACTAGGCCTGTCTCCCACCACATATGACTGGAGTCTATGACCGGAGTCAGATACGTTTGCCAGTACTGGAATTTGACTCTATCAACAAATAAACAATGACAAAAAGTAATTGGAAGATTTGTCCTGAAATATGATTGCTTCTGGATTTGCTTTTTTGCTTTTCAAATCCTCTTTTTTTTTTTTTTTCCTGTTGGCAGAGTGCTACAAAACAAAGGTGGTTTGGAATTTTTAACCAAATATATTTTAATCTAAAGTCACAGGTTTTTTCAAAACTGAAACTATATGCAAGGAATTTTCTTTTGTTTTGAGAATGGATTTTGAGAAGGTCTCTGATGTTCCATTTTGCCAGGAGATTTCTTGGTGGTTTGATTTGCTTTGGTGCCTTAGAATTATTCTGTCATTTTCTCAACTTCATTCTTTAATGCCATTCAGATTTTGGGCCTTAAGGGTTTGAGGGTATCTTTCCTTCTCCTGTAAGCAATGCACTTTTCTTTAAAACCTGTTTGTTTATGCTTTTTTTCCATTTGCTATCCATGTGTAGTATCAATTTGCTATCCACACGTAGTATGAATCTTGTGAAATTTTAATGTTCCAGTAAATAAGGTTTACAGGATCAGCTCAGTTACAACTAAACTCACTGGGAGTCCTTTCTTTGACTTGAGGAGGTTTTCTACTCTTGTAGTAGGAAGAGTAAGAAGCTATTGCAAGTGTGATAGATGTTTTTATGACAATGTTCCCAGATAACAGTATCAGAACATCTTTAAAAACTGAGCTATAGATGAGCAAAACACATTTTATACCAGTCCTTTTCACTGCTTACCAAGTGCATTAACACCACATATCGTTTCTCAAAAACACAATACTTATCTGTTAGTTTATATATGGGTGCAATGATTTAATCCCTTAATGTGACAATCTTGATAATAATAATGGCATCACTTGCAGTAGTAGTAGAGTAAAAATAATGGCCACCTTTAGAATAGTTTTATTGAAAATCAATAGTACTTTGTAACTTGGTTGTTTTTTATAGTCTTAGGAAGTTTAGCAACTTGATGCTACACAAGATATATTTTTAGCTATTGCCTTCTGCCAAAAATAGAGTGATTCTCAAAAAAGAGACTAACAATTCACCTCAACAGGCATTTGGTAGATGTAACTCTGTACTGTACTTAGCATGGAAAAAATCATAATTATCATATTGCCCTATAGAACATGGAAACATGGAATAAACAGAATTTAAGAGTCTTGAGCAGTGAAATGACCACAGACATGTGTGGGAAAAACACACAATTCCTTCAGGTCACTTCTTTCTACATCAGAGTGAGATATGATATTTACTGAGACAACAAGGCAGAATTTCTTTCAAATTGGAATACGATGCCATGTGTTTATTATTTAGATTAATGAAAATTTGGAATCGGTATTACAATGTCGAAAAACTTGCCAGTGATGAGGTAGACACATGCCTGACCACATGAACTACAAACATAAAATTGCCACTGAAGTCAGCAGTAGGTGTTTGCATCCCAGTTCTTCATGATTTTTGTCACTCATTTCCCAAACCCTGGCCCAAAGAAATTACTGAGCAAACAGCTTGCAAATGGCAAGCTGCAAATGGCAATATGGATTGTGCCAGAGAAGCAAATGGGAGAAAATTACCTATGTAAATGTTTGAAGAGTTGGAAAATCAGAAAGACAAATTTTGTGTGTAAGGGTCATATTTTGATGCCATTAGAATGAAATTAAATCAAACAGCCCCTTCCCCCAGTTTTCTCTCTTACATAAAAGAAGCAAAAATCCTAATGTGCTAAATGAAATCTCCTTAGTCTGTGGTGGTTACTGAGCTTAGTGTTGGTCACAATGCACAATTAGAGCAGAGCGCCAGCAGCCACTTGTATTGACTGTGCAGCTTACGTGCAAGAAAAGCTCTGTCTGGAGATAACATGGATTTTTCTGGGTTTAGTTTGGTTTTGACTTCTTTGTAATTTTAACAGAATTTGCATGTGTTGAATTAAATTTGAGGTTTCTCCAACCCCTTCTCCCTGAATGTAGTCCCGCACACCCCATCCCTAAACCTACTTCACGATTCAGCCACTTAACTGACCAATAGTTTTCTTAGAGGAATTATTTTTGAACGCTTGGATTAAGTTAAGTCTTTTATAACTAAGATGCTATATTACTTGAGTAACATTAAGTAATCCTGAGTAAAATGACCCAGATCAAGATGGTTTTTAATGCTGTTGGGAGGAATACTCTCTCAATAAAGACAGGCAACATAAATTAGCTACGCTCTGGATAGGATCATATTTGGGCTGCTTACTACTTTCCTCTTTGGTGCAATTCCCACTCTGACTGACTCTGCAAATACTATTATGTAAAGAGCAAAAGGCTTATTACCCAAGTAGAAATGCACACATGTTCCCTCACATATTAGTCTATGTTTGGATGTCTCCTGGCAGGATGTTTGAATGAGAAGGGGACGCTTTCAGTTGTTCTGGTTTCAGTAAATTTCTGCATCAGTGTGGCCAAGATTCACACATTGACCCAGAAAGTCAAAAGAAGACACAGAAACCAGGCACATCAGCTGCAGAAAAATAATGTGTTGTTGTTTGGTTTTTTCCCATCTGTTCTGTTGGCTACTTAAGAGCTGGTAATTCTAGAAGTATGTCTGGATCTAATTCTACAGATGCCTCGAACTATTAGTGCACTGTAATTTTTTTATTACTCTGCAGTGACTAGTAACAAATGCAAAATTTTGCAGTTTTGAGGATAAAGGAAGAAAATAAAACATTGATCATCACCTGAAATAGCACAGCTTGATAATGTCTAAAAATCTCTTTAATATTAATAAAAAATGAGGGGTTTAATATATCAAAACCAATTAATATTTCTGGCCTGTTTAGTTGTTGAACCACTAATCTTGTATATTTGAGTGTATATGAACAAATGGGACTTTACTTGAGCTCAGAGTAGGGATCTGACAGAACATTAGGAAGCTGAGATATGTGTGTCTTTTTTAGTTACTTTTTTCCAGTTAGACTGTTGTGTCTAATGTCTCAACAATTTCTTCTTGTAGAAAACAAGTATAGTTGAACAAGCATCCCTGGACTGTTTTTATCTTCTTGATATTTGAACTCTAAATGGAGAACTCCAGTGTTGAAAAATTTATATCTTGTTTATTATCTGATTGATGTTGATGGTCAAATTCAAATAGGTCACTTTGAAAATACTGTTTTACAGATTGAAAGACATGATAACTGTGCATATGACTACTTGGAAATTCGAGATGGAGCGAATGAGAACAGTCCTTTAATTGGTCACTTTTGTGGCTATGACAAGCCAGAAGACATTAGATCTACCTCTAATACCTTGTGGATGAAGTTTGTTTCTGACGGAACTGTTAACAAAGCAGGGTTTGCAGCTAACTTTTTTAAAGGTAAATGTTAAAGCATATTTTGGGAGCTGTGAACTGCTTATCACTTGGTTTTATACTAGAAAAATTGTGGCAGGATATTAAAAATTTATCTCAACCTATTTTTACTAGTATCAGTTCTGTAGTGTCTCCAGCATATTTTTTACCTGGGCATACAATTTTATCGAATAAAGCAGCAGAGTTATTTGAATCTCAGTGTAAAATAAGTCTGAAGAGCAACTTCCTACTCTCTTTAGGCTCAAATAACCAGCTTAGTTTTGAAACACCTTTGAAAAGTATCTAATCCTGTAAAAAATAGCTTTTTTGACATTGTGTTATTAATTATATAGTTAAATAGTATAGTCATAAATGGGTCTTTTCTGTTACAGTGGTTTTTTTGGTCTAAATTTTGTGTTTTTTCTAGTCTGTTTGCTGCATTAGGCTGCTTTATCAATGAATTACTTCCTGTGAGCAAGGAAGAAAAAAAAAACACAACAAACCAAAACAACTGAGAAATAGTGACTAATGGCCTCAGTTTTCCCCCAGTTTTGGGGTCTTTGTGTGCGTGTCATACAACTGCAGCGACAACTGCAGCATTTGGAGTGTGGGGAGTGTGTAATTCCTATCCTGTGCCGCCTGTGGCACAGTGAAAGCCACAAACAGTGGTGTGGCCATGGTGACACCCAAAATACAGGTCACGCCAACAGGAGAACTTCTTTGATTTTTTTGACAAGCCACAGACTGGGGCTTTTTTCACCCTGACTCTTAGTTTTCTCTATAGACAATTATAACCTTGAAGGCTGTAAACAAGAGAGTGAGAGCTGTGTTTTAGTTGCAAGAAATTACTTGTCCTGGTGTAAGGAAACAGTATTTCAACATCTAAAGAATATTTTAACAATGAATCTCATGGGTATACTTCAGAGCTAGTAGAGATAATACATTATTCCTTTCCCTCCCCCATCCCTGATGCATCTTGTTCCCTTTAATATCAGTAGAATGAAAACCTGGGATTTGGGGATTCTGTTAATCTGTTTTTGAGTATGAATTCAGGATAATGCACAAATTGATTCTGTGGGAGATAAAGTGCCCTTCAAGTGACCCTGCTGTGGATTTTCAATCTTTCTTTCAATACTTTATACAACCTTTAGATTACAGCTGCCTGAATTATTATATGCTGCCTACAAAGTGCTTATAAATTAGTTCTGCAGCTGTCGGTAGGCATTGTTGTAGAAAAACCTACCCAAACCCCACAAAGGACAAATTTTTATTTTCGCCATTGCAGGTCTCCTTAGCATTTGAAAATCCTCTAGTCAGCAACCACAGTGTGCTATGTAGTGCTACCTTATAATGGCACGCATACAGCTTTCTGGGTTAATATTGATCCAGCAATTGCAGCCGAGGAAGGTAATTATTTAACATGTTTTTTGCATTCTTCCCTGTCTTGGCAGAGGAAGATGAATGTGCCAAACCTGACAATGGTGGCTGTGAGCAGCGCTGTGTAAATACTCTGGGCAGTTACCAGTGCGCCTGTGATCCTGGCTATGAACTTGGTCCTGACAAAAAGAGTTGTGAAGGTACCGTGCGTTGCTGTGTCATGGGCTCTTAAAGCTCACAGGAGTGCCATTGCTTGAATGAAATGCTGCATTTTTCATATGCTCTCTTCTAGCAGTGTGAGATTGGTGGAACTCAACCTGGAAAACCAGTGCTCCCTTTTAAGTAGCGGTGCCAGGGCAATGTCTGTCCCTAGCAGTCATGTTCATCCCATCTCTGTCACTAATTTAGCTTTACGAGTTCTGATTGAGAAAGATGCAAAGCAGGAATTCATACCTTCCCAAAACACTTATTATACTATTCATACTCATTAAAAATCTCCCACCATGTATAAGGAGACAATTATCAGCAGAGCAGTGTGTGCTGGTGTCTCAGAGTATTTATTGACTCCTCTGACCACCTCTGACTGGGAAGCTGGCAGGTTTGAAGAGTGGGATACTTTACTCTAGATCAAAGCTCTCAGAAATCCTCCCCACTCCCAGTCAGATTGTGGACTTTTCTTGATGGAAACAGATTCTACTTTTCAGGGTGAGCAAAGCTTGTTCAAATAACCATTAGGAGAAATGAAAACCTGATAAGTGCAAGTCTGTGTAAACATAGGATTGGATTGAGATAAGCTTTTCCTTTCTATACGTATTTCATATCAAAGGAAAGGCGCAAAAGCTCTTGATCATTACACACCAATTGTTGTTTGATTTTTATTCATGAACACCATTCAGAGATAGCACAAATTGTTCTTATCTCAGTTCATCTGTTAGACTAGTAAATGGATTTTGAAAATTGGAGTGCTTGGGGTTATGGTTTTCTGATGCAACTCACTGGTCTCTTTTTTTTCTTTCTCTGTTTCCTGGGTTTTATTCATGTTTTGTCACAATTTAGGGTAGTTTTGCTTAGTTTATTTGCAGTTTTTGTTCTTTTGCTTTTGATTGAGTGGTCTTGGCTTTGTCTATTTGTTTGTTGTGTGTGTTTATGCAAGGTGGTGATAGTCCTAAACTACAGGCACGATAGATTGTGGCTCTCATCAAGCTGATTGTTTTTCCAGTTGTACCCCCCCCCATTTAATAGTGAGCACACTGGAAAAACATTTTATTTAGATGTCTGCATGTTAGGCAGTATGTGGGAAGTAAGGTTAATCTAACAGGGGCCATGAAGACAGAGATTTGATCTCTGGGCCTTTGATCATCAGCCCAAATTTATGTAAAGAATTTGGTTAGTCTGCCTGCTCACCTGGGTCAGAATATTAGGCAAGATTACCAGTCTTTCAGAAAACTCTTCCCTCTGCCTCCAAAAAATAAAGACGGAACATATCCTCAGTACCCAAACAGAACAGCAACTCTGGCAAAAGGAGAAATCACTCAAAGTAGTGCAGTGCAGCACGGAGCTATCCCTAGAAGTGTCTATGCATTGTGTATATAACAAAAGTGTACATGACCTAGCACTTGCTGTGTGTAGATACTACTTGGGAGTGCTGGATTAAAATCACTGTATAGTCACAGTGAGCATTATGTTATAGTTTAGGCAGTCAAGAGATGACCTAGCTGCATTAATTGACTTGTGATGCCACAGTAGAAGCCTCTAACTCAGAAACTGCCCAATGCTTCACAGCAGTGTTGACATGCACAGAAAATTGCTTCACAGTCATCTAATCCAAATCTCCCCTGCGGGCAGCATACTAGAAAGCTTTAAGATCTTCTTTTCAGTACTTCCACATTTCCCATCATTGCCTCAGGGACCAATGGAGTGATGCTGAAAAGCAGAAATTTAAATCTAGCAGCAGTTGTCCAGATTCAGACTTGATCATTTGGGGGTACACCTTTTGTCATCTGATTGCAGCTTCTAAACCCATGCCTGGTATGTTTTTACAAACTGAGGTGTGACTGACGGTCTTGGCCTCCCTGCCTCAGTCAGATTACCTTGACATGTATAACAAGAAGTCTTTGCATGGAAAGTCACATACCAGGAGGAAGACTGGTATATGTCTGGGTTGGCCAAATGAGCCACAGAAACTGGAGAGTTCTCCCAGGTGTGTTAGGTGAAGTAGACGTATTGTGTGAGACAATCAGCTACGCAAGAATAGCCAGGTTTTAAAGCGTTCAGCGTTAGCACAGAGCAGTTGGAAGAAGGTGGAGCTTCCTCCACCAGCTCTTTAGAAGGAGATTTATGGATGATTTCCAGTGCTGTCACAGTGCTGTAATGGTATCAAGGCAGCAGAGTGTGATCGAGAAGCCCTGCAAATCCCATTACTATTCTTTTTTTTTCTTTCCTTTTTTTTTTTTAAAGAAATAAAAAAATCCACAGATGGAAAAGATTAATGTGTTTATCCTCTATCTGAACTGCATTCACAAATGTAGTAGAGTATTCTGCTGCATGGAAGTGACTATTCGGCATATATTTGGAAATAATAGGTATTTTTTCTGTCACTCGAGCATCCGTACTTCAGCAAAATAATTGTGGCTGAGAGGTACGTGGCTGCTATCTCAAAGAATTGACCCCATCTAGTAGGTTCTGGGAGGCATATAAAGCTATATGAACTGAGACAGGTAGGGTTGATTCTGGATCAATAATCAAGGAGAGAATCTGGGGAAATGGGAAGCGCATCTTAAGTAGTCCATCTGCCAGAAGAGGGGTGGTCAAGGTCCTGGGGAGGGCGGTGAGGTCAGAGGACTTGCATGGGAAAGGCTGTGAGAGAATAACCAGAGTCTCTGGAGGGAAGGGAAAAAGAATGAGCATGATAACGCCTTTTGTAGGCCTGAAACTTATCTCTGTCCGCAAACCTGCAAGCTGTTCAAGATAGGGGCTGTCTCTTTCTATTTGTTTGCACCAAGCATGATAAAACAAGATTCTGATTAGTCTGTCTGGGCATTATTACAACAGTATAAGTAAGGGGAGGACTGATTCTTCTCAGTGTGCTTCTGTTTACATTAAAACACGGTTTCAGTCAATAAATGATGCTCTCCCTTTTAATTTTACAGCTGCTTGCGGAGGACTCCTGACAAAGTTAAATGGGACTATAACCACACCAGGGTGGCCCAAAGAGTATCCTCCAAACAAAAACTGTGTGTGGCAGGTGGTTGCCCCGACACAATACCGAATTTCAATGAAGTTTGAGTTTTTTGAGTTAGAAGGGAACGAAGTAAGTAACTGTGAACAAAGAGCTGCACAAGTTGTTATGCACTAAACAGTTTCACAAATGTTCAAAAATAGATATTGTCTTAGAAAACCTCTGTGGACCTTTCATACGTTGACAATAACCACAGATATTCTTGTTTTCATTTTGGGACTGTTTCTGGATTATTTCAAAACAAACATGGAGAGAGTAGCTCTCTTTTACATATCAACTAAATGTACATGTACTACAAGAAATCTGAAAGAAATGTTCTCTGCTGAGTCTCAGCTGACTTTTTTTTATCAACAAAGTAAAACAGAGCAAATGGATGAGGCATTTTGGAAAGAATTCAAGAGAAGAAAATCTGGAGAAACCAAATCGTCTTTACTGACTGTGACTACAGAGAATACACATAAGCTGTGGTTAGTGGTGGAGTGAGGGAGCATTTAAATCTTGTGGGAGGAATGTTTAAAAGGAAGCAGTACCACAAATAAGGCACAAGAGAAGAATAGCAGTGTTAGAGCTGGGCAGCCCCTGGAAGCATGGAGGATCTTGTCCCCAAGTGGGAGAGATGGACAGGGCAGAGCCCTCCATATGGTTAGGGCTGCTCCCTGTAGCTTTAAACAAAGTGATGGGGGTTGCAGTGTGTTTTGGATGTAAATCAGTAAAATGTGGGTTTCAACATCAACTTTTCAGCCTCTGTTTTGCTTCCTATGCACTACTCTGTCATACCATTGAGTTCCCTTGCCATACTCTAATAATGTGTGGTAGCCATCAAGTTTCTCTGAATGTTCTTCACATGGCATTAAGGACCCAAATCTCAGGATATTTCTGACCAAACAAATCTGTAGCAACATACTTGATACGAGAATGGGCCATGTTTTGGACATGAGCTCTGAAGTAGCAAAAACTGGAATCTAATTTGTAACTAAAAAATAGCCTAGTCATGGCTTCTCCAAAATATCTCAAAACTATTTGCAGAGGCAGAAATGTGAGATTTTTGTTATATATTTTAAATAATTTGAGATGAGTTCTAAAGTTTGTGAAATTCCAACTTTTAATGATTTATATGTTACACTTATGTCCTGTTACCATCATTACAAGTACTGCAAAAGGTGTAACAAAGACTTACAAATCCCAAAGAACTAGATTTTAGTTACCATTTGAATATATCGTAAAACAGTTTTCATGCACTTTCATTGTACTTAATCCAGATTTGCAGAGAAGACATCTAGGGTGTAATGAAGCTAAATTAGTTTTCTAAGGTCATAAAAGACACATAACTTAAGCAGATATGAAAATGTTTCTTTCAATGTTTTTTGACATTTAGAACTTCAGTTTGATCATCTCCTGTGCTACTAAAACTCAGCTTTTTACTATTAAATAATAGCACTAGGAATGGAACCTGTGAAAATCAGAAGAAACATGTCCAAAACATTCTAATATATTGTGTGATTGCAGACATAAACTGTTAGATTTAGCAAACACTGTAACTGTTTTTGTGTTAAGAGATCAGTTTAGAATCAAATGTAATGTCTCCTCAAATATTTTTACATATTTTACATTGTATTGTTTTGATTTGCATTTAACCTGTAATTTTTTTAAAATATAGTGTAATATAAATGAAGTTAGACCTATATGAAATTAGATTTTTTTTTTCCTAATGTAAAGCTATGAAACCACCAAAACTAACCACTAATGTATTGCTAAAAGTGCTGGGATTTATTAACATTGTGAGCTATATTTGAAAGTTACATGCATTAGTATGAATTTATCAATATAAATCAGCATGTGGCAGTAACTCAAGTTTTATGAATCACTGTGTTCTCTGTATTGTATAAAAGTAGTTTTAACTGAAATAGTCACTTTCCAACTCTGCAACATGTGAAGATTGTTCTAGTAACAGTGCAAATTTAATCTACATCTAGAATGTACTATATTAAAAACAATTGGAAATGTTGACAATCACTTAGCATTTCGTGGGGAGTGAGAGCAATAAAGGCCAAAACATCTTCTTCTATAGTTCCTTTCTCTTGCCATTTCTTTTTTGACTAGAAATTTTGATTTGCTAAATAAAACTTGGATTTAATGGACAGTCTGAGCACTGTATGTATCCTCCTGGCCACTGTTTTTTCTTAAGCTATTAATTGCAGACAACTGGGACGTTTTTGATTAAATGATTGATAGTTGAGCCTAAGAAGCTTAGAAGTTTTTGGGTGGAAGGCTTTAGGCTGACAAAGGGATTATTCATTGAAAGTATTATCATGAGTAGTAGGTCTTGCATAAGGCTTTTTTTAAATTAAATTATTTTACTTTATTTTTAAGCTGTTAATGAAAATGACATTCATCAGCCTTCCAAAGTATAGCTATGCTACTGTTAAGCAAAGACATATAGTTTTAATAATACAGAGTTATATATTTGCAAATAAATTAATATATATTAGATATATTATGGTAAAAAATTAACCTGTAAATGTCTATGTGAAGATTAATTTTTTTAAAAAATAAATTACAAGATGCAAGCAGTAAGATGTTCTGGATATGTGGTTTATAGCACAAAGATAGGTATCATTTTTAGGGTGAGTATTTCTAGACATTTATGTCACTAGAATTTTTACTTCTTGGATTAAATAGAAATGCTGCTAAGCATCATGAAATTTTGGTAATAAACACAGATTATTATCTATCAAAATATAGTTTTGAATGTAACGAACAGTATAACTGTGCTTTAGTGACTTTGAAATATTCTTGCAGAAAACTTGCAGAAATTTTTGTAAGCCTTTACAATTGTTTTCAGAGTCAGGGAAAAGTGAAAATCCAGTTTTAAGTAGCATATATCCATTGAAGTTCTTACAGATGTAAACAACTTCATGCTTTTCTTTTTGATAGCCAAAAAGATATTTTTCTTTTCTCAGGTTTGCAAATATGATTATGTAGAGATTCGTAGTGGCCTTTCTTCTGATTCTAAACTACATGGTAAATTCTGCGGTACAGAAGTGCCTGAAGTTATCACCTCTCAGTACAACAACATGAGGATTGAGTTCAGGTCGGACAACACTGTGTCAAAAAAGGGCTTCAAGGCACACTTCTTCTCAGGTATAGAAAATTACTCTTGTGTACTTATGAGTGCCTCTGAGCATACACTGACTAGGTGGAGTTAATACTGTATTTGGTATGAAGGTGGGTGGCTTTTTCTGTTGTAGTTGTCCTGGTAGCTTTGAATTTGTTTTATTTCTATAAGCATAAACTACTCTCCTGTCTTAAAATACTGCTCTGACTTGTAATGTCTATAGAAAATATGTGGAATGTGTATATATATATATATTTAAATAAGAGCACGAGAGCAAGAGACTTGCACGCTTTGTGGGATGCAGAGAAAAAAATCCCAAATGTACTAGGTGTTCCTAGATTTTGATAGATTTCTTTTATCCCACATTTTGTTGCTATTTTTTCAAACCCTAGCTGTAATGTGATATGCATTACATACTGAGTACACTTGCATTTTTTTCACTCAGGTCTTTTAATATATTGCATTACTTATGAAATAACCACTTTGTACTACAACATTTGTTTAACATTATGGGTACTTTCTTGCCAAACTTTGCACTTCTTAACGTTTTGCAGAAGAACAGACTTTAAGACCTTGCTCTTGAAAAAAAAGTGTTTCTTTTTAGTTATGAGTGTAATTTCACCAAGGCAGATGAGAGCGATGGAAGTTTATATCATCTGAGGACATGTACTGCTGAGTAAAGATAGACATGAGGGAAGCTGAAGATGTGAGGAAATATTTGCACAACAGTTGTCTTTGCAATTATCCATTGAGACTAGACTATAATAATCTGACTGTGGCAGGATACCACCTGGTGTTAGTAATAGAGTTTTGTTTAGTGTTTTTCTTCTGTGTTTACATGCACACATATGCATAGGTATTTATTTTATCTCATGTAAAACAAAACAGTTAGGTCCACCCACCTCCCCAAACTGGAAGTCATCCAGAAATATTTGAATTCTGCCTCCAGTTTTTTGATGGCAACTAAAAATCTGAGTCTGGAGAATTCTGATTATGTTTAGCATGTAGCAAAAGGTATTGCCAGGCACTATTGTTAGCCCTTTTTTGTTAAAATATTTTATCAAAGCTGGAATGAAATGGTCTTTCATTGTTTAGCTTTAATAACTGATAACTATGACCATGTAATAATAATAAGTGAGGAAAATAATTGTCATGAAAAATAGTTTAGACTTTCAGTGTTTTTTCATTATGACCCCTGTGATGTTTTGCTTAAACAATTGTGAAAGGTCAAAAGAAATGTTTCATCTCATACAAAGAAATTCACAAAAATTTTACCTCCTGTAAGCATATTATTTTCCCTATGAATTACATTTCTCTGGGCATAGTCTTTCAGATCAATCTTTACATATAGTAGCACTTTTAAATTTAAATTTCAAATTAGCAAGAAGCTTTCCAAGTTTACTCAGTATTTGTTGTAAATATGTATATGCACTTAGAGCTTCCTCCAAGAAACATTTATAAAGCACTCATTTCATGTGAGCCTTCGAGTAGGTTCTTGAAAGACGTCAAGCCAATGTTGAGCAAAGACTGGGCTGTAATTCATGGAGTTACGAAGGCTGTAATCTTTCAGAATCATTATTTCTCTTGTATTCTTCAGATTCTGTTCTTCTATGTTATCTAGCTTTCCTCTCACAATATTTTCTCATCAAAACAGAGACTTTGTAATGCTTGAGACAGATCAAAGTTACGAACTTAAAGTATCTAAAAAGAGATTGTCATGTCTGAATAATTCATCAGACAAAACTCTCATGGCTGTCAGAAAACAGCATAACTTTCCTACTCCTGTATTGCTTAATATGAGCATAATATGCTATTCGTCTGTTAATGAAGAACAAACTTGAGATTTCAAGTATTTTGACTTTGCGGAGTTGATAGCTGATCACTGCTCAGCTGATGAAGTGGGGTATTTTTTTGCTATTTCTATACATATTTTCAGAATACAATACTTTTAGAATGGTATCTGTGGAGGAATGCTTGGTGCTAGTGTCTAATACTTGCTGGAAGGCGTTTAACAGTTTTATTAATTAAATCACAATAGAAATACATGCAAACATTTAGTTGTAAAGACATACATCATGAAAAAAATCAGTAATATGTAAAACACTGCATCTTGCAGTCTATTAATATGTAAAACACTGCATTTTGCAGTCTGTTCACCAGCAAAGGGCATATGCAATGTTCAGCAAGAGAGACAGGCGGATAAGTCGGTTGAGTTTGAAGGTTAGAAACTGTAATGTGTTCCTCAAGAGCAGCCAAAGAACTCTTTTTTTTCTCAACCCTTCGTGGTGAATTCTGCAGCTACTGTGGAGAAAGCATGGCTCAGCTCCAGCTTAGATGACAGAAAGCAGTTTTTGAGTGGTTGGAACCCACCGTGGTAAACTGTGAAAGCAAACAGTGACATAGGGCAACAGATGACCTGCATTAGGAAGGTATTTATGTTGATATAAGAGAACATGTAATTACATTTTTGGCTGTAAAATGGTGTTAACAGCCAGACAGGTGCTACTGGAAAGTGAGGAAAACTTTCAACATTCTGTAAAATTTACATTTGATGGGACAGTTCTGAAGGGAGCTCAGTTGAGAGCTGTTGTAGGGGTCTAGGTAATCTATAGACACACTCTTGTATATGTATAATCAGGTTTCTTGGATAAAGAGAAGAAATTAGGGGTACATGCTATATTTTAAAAAATTTATAATAAGACTTTGAAATTGGATATTAGGCTTCTAAGTGAAAAGCTTCCAGTAATTAAGTTTCACTTCTTTCTTCTGCCCTCCTTTTCTCTTCTGCTGTTGTTACAAGGCAGTGACCTATTGCAGTCTGCTGGGCCCACAAGACTAGAGGAGTGTAAAATAACTCAATGCATTTACTCTAGGGAGGTTTAAAAGATAACAATAATATATATTGGGTTTTTTTCTCTGATGTTTCCAAGCAGATAGCCTAATGATTTACTTCTGTCAGTCTTTGTGTAGTGGTATGATTAATACCAGTGATAATATGTTGATAAACTGCTTCCATTTATCGTGAGTTTTAGTTACTTCAGTGTTTTAAATAAACATGATTCTTTGCGTGATCATTTAAAACATACAAGGTGTTTGATGTAACACAGAAATGAAGTTCATTGGGACATTTTTTCTTGAGCAGTTAAAAAGAGAACGGTAGAATGTTTCTAGCCCTGAGCAAAATTGTTCTGGAGCACAAACTCATCTCTGGTGCCCTCCTGGTACATTTTTTTTCCACAGACAAGAAAGCTGCCTGCAAAGAGAAAATTTTTGTTTTTGAATCTTGCAAGGACTTGATACATGTCCCTTCAGGACGAGTACGTATTATTCACAGACTGGTGGCCTCTGAGGGCCTCAGAGGTACGACAATTTGTCCTCTGAATGATTCAATCTAACATTTTGTTGAGAATGGATCTTTGCCTGTTTTGAGTACCAAAATAAGAAAAGAAAGTATCCATTCAAAACTGGGAGACTCACTTCCATCTGTCAGCATAACAAATGGCTTTGTTTTCACATGGCAAAGCATTTGTTCTTATAACTAATACACACTAATTGTTTTTTCATGGATTTTGAAACCGGGCTATCAATCTGACAGAAAGTCTGTTCTGAATTATGAAGTGTGAGGAAGGCTCGTTCAACAGTTGCATCCTTGATTAACCATGTACAAGTAATTATTGTACTTCAAATGTGTTCCAGAGCTTCTCCTTTCTTCCTTCTGGCCATTGTTTAATCTCTGAGGAGGTCCAACATGTGACTGTTTCCTTATACAGTTGTCTCTTAATAAATTATTATTTTACAGTATGTAACCTTATTTAATGCTAATTTACTTAGCAGTATTTTCACAGTTTGGTGGAAGATGAAAATGGACAGGTTTTTTATTTAGAATTCGTGTACTTGCTCTGTACTTTGAAGCCAAACGAATGCATTTTGAGCTCGCCTTCCATTTATATTGTTATTTTGGTAGAAAACTACAAACTAATGCTTAGGAGGGGAAATACTGAAGAGTTTTGTTCATATTATATCTAATTTCTCATTTGCTTGTTATTATTCTTCACATGCAACAAAGAATTAGTGAATGACAGTGCTTGCTTTTGCAAAGATGAAAAATTGTAAATTTTATTTGAAATTAAATAGATTTACTGCCTCAGTTTGGGACTTGCATTGCAAGGTCTATAAACAGTGTATTGTGCAGCTTTTATGCTTCTTTCATCATTAAAATGACACTAGTATAACCCTTTGGATGTATGATTCTGGGAGCTAACTATGTTGCTGACTGTTTCTTAACCTTCAAATCTGTTCGTGTCTGCAGAAAGCCTCCAAAAACTTTCAGTGCAAACAGATTTGAGTTTTACAGGGTAAAATGGAGTGGATACTTGGCTTTGGCTTGGAGAATTTATCTAATAATGTACATTATCATCATGTATTATAAGCAGAAGCTGATTTTTGTGGAAAAACCTGCAAGTCAATGCATAGTTACATACATTTTGGCAGACAAAGCTGACGTGTATGCAATTATAATGCAAACTTTCTTTGTTATGTGTCAGTAAAGTATCAGTAAAGGCAGGGAAAAATGCATGATTAGAACAAAGAAAAGAGACTTAAACTATTAATCGTGGTTTGTAATCTATAGAAATTCTTACTGTGCCTACTAAAGTCTGAAACATCACATGTTACCTTGTTTGGAGATAACACTCGCTGCTGCTTTCCAAGGTACGTGAGGCTGAAGGGGGCAAATGTTCGGCATT